TGTGAAAAGGTGGGCCCCTCCGCGGGGCCAGCTCTCCCGCCTCCGGGCACCCATCGGGTCCCGCGCATGCGTCCAGCTGCTGCTCCAATGGGCCCTCGGGCATGGAGCATGCGTGGGAGCCCCGCCCCACAACTCCCCTCCAAAGGGGAGGAGCGTTTCCAGGGGACCCGGCACCTTCCTCATCGGCATTGGCCTGGGGACCCTGGCGCCCGATTTCAAAAACAACCAATAGTTTGGAGACTCTGGAGCACCTGCTTTCGGGAGGAGTTTATGCCAAAATTCAAAGGAAATAGAAACATCGAGGTTTCACATTATTTATCCCTTCTCCCCAGGGACCAAGCAGAGCGCACCAACGAGGTTCAGACTGAAATTCCCAGGGCCAACGAAGAGTTATTCTTTCCCGGTACTGTGTCTTGTGGGACGGGCAGCGACAGGTTATTCTCATTGCCCGAGTTTGGTCGCAATGAACATTGTTGCTTTCGGATTCGCTTTTTTGAGGGCATTATCCACGGTTGTGTCAGCAGGTCTGGGGGGTGCTGGAACGCTCACAGGAGGTCTCTTGTTGAGGGTGCAGATTGCTTCATGCAATTGGATCATCCAACCCTGCAAGGAGTGCTGATCTGTCTTTAAAGCATCCTTTAACACACCATTGTATCTATCTTTCTATTAGACTGGCACCCGTGGGGTTGTAGGGTAGGTGAATTCCCCAGTTGATACAGAGGCACTCAGCCATTACTGTATTTGATGTCCAGTGAAGTGCGTTTCCTGGTTGCTTTCATGACTTTTGAGGTGCCATATGCCACAAGAAGTTTGACAGTTCTCCAATGACTGAGCGTTGTGTAGTTCGTTTGTTAGGGAAGACCTGCAATAATCCTGTGGTAGTGTCAACACAGATGAGAGCAAACCAGTCCCCTTCGCACACAGAAAGGGGACCTAGCGAGTCTACATGCAAGTAAATAAAAAACTCATGGCCCTGTTTGATGTGTCCCCCTTCTATTGGCGGTTCCTGAGGGTGCCTCTCAGCACATAAGCAACAATCATTGCAAGCAGTCACTATATCAGAATCTTTAATGGGGAAGCCCTAAGCTTTTGCTACTTCCCACAGTGTTTTATATCCAGCATGGTTTTTTCTTCTTTTTTAAAATTTACATTTAATCACTGTACATCTTTACATTGTACCACATGGTTTTTCCAAGCATGGATACAATGCCTATTAGTCAAGTCAAAAGACATTACTATATACATTATCATCAGCAGTTAACTTCATTTTTGTGTCTATTAAATTTGTTGTTTTTGTCCTGATCCTCTCCCTCCCACCCCTTATTACCACCCCCTCCTATACTGTCTCTAGTATCTACAATTGCTCACTCTAGTATTATACCTTCCAATCTTTCCATTTCAGCTATAGAGCACAGTCATTTGGTATGTATGAAGTGGGGACATACAATGCCTCTCTTTCGAAGTCTGGCTTGCTTCACTTAGCGTTATATCTTTCACATTTGTCCACATTCATCAAGGTCTCATTGTTTTTTTATGGCTGAGTAGTATTCCATAGAGTAATGTGCCACATTTTTTTCAATCCACTTGTCTGTTCTTGGACATTCAGATTGATTCCATGTCCTAGTAATTGTAAATAATTTGCTGCAGTAGGAGCCAGCAGGTGGCATAGTGGCACTGGAATCCCACATGGCTGACCATGGTTCAAGTCCTGGACTCAGCAGCTTGAAACTCACACCAGGTGTGTGTGTGTGCATGCCCAAAATCCTAAGAAGAAAATGGAGGAGAAGGAATTGTGGCATGGCCATCTCCCTTGGGGGATGATTTCTCATTTTTTCTTTCTTTGTTTCTCTCTGTCCTTCATTGAGCACATGCAACCTATAGCAAATTCTCTCTCTCTCTCTCTCTCTCTCTCTCTCAAAAAAAAAAAAAAAAGCTTCAATAGGCA